TATTCCTCCCACTGACACCAATGATGGGGCACTATTCCTCTTCATTCTTATTTATTTCACTCATATATTTAGGGGACTATTGATAAACAATTTGCAGAGCCATTCACCCTGCGTATCTCTGAACGTTTGCTCTGTGAGAATAAAGGCAAAAACGAGAGTTCTTAGTGTATTTTCTTTTCAGGTCGAATTTAATGTTATATCATATTATGGCCACTAGAGGGAGGGGAGGAGCAGAGAAAATAAGTATTTCCTATGCTCATCATCTCCATCCAGTGGCCATAATGTGGTATTACATTACAATCAACCTGAAAAGAAAATATACGAAGAACATCCGTCTGTATTTACTTCTGTTCACGCAGAACGAACGTTCGCAGAGATTCATGTGAATTGTTTATAAATAGACCCCAGATTGTTTAATTCCGCAGTTACTCTTGTCAGTATTTGCACCAGAGAAGCTTATAATCAAATTATCTGGGGCAGGGGGCAACGTGGCCCTTTGGCATTCATTCCGGGACATTGTACACGGCAAGGCAATGCTGAACATTGGCTGATAATGTTATTATAGAACAGTGATGGGAGATGGAGAGAGCTATGGTAGAGATGGTAGTCATACCACTGCTAGTTATTGAAGATTGATAGTCAGTGGAAGACTAGTTATGAGTTATTACATCACTGAACATTATGAGAGGACTGGTAGTTATGATAGGAGTGGTAGTAGGTTATGATAGAACTGGTAGTTATGATAGGAGTGGTAGTAGGTTATGATAGGAGTGGTAGTAGGTTATGATAGGGCTGGTAGTTATGATAGGACTGGTAGTAGGTTATGATAGGACGGGTAGTAAGTTGTGATAGGGATGGTAGTAGGTCATGATAGAAGTGGTAGTGATGATTGGTAGTTCTACTAGGATTGGCTTTGTGGGAACAGACCGGAGAGGGAGGGAAGGGGGATGGGGGGATTGTAGCGGTGAAGTTGTCACTCAGCATCTTCCAAACACGATGACGTCACTCCACTAACTGTCACTCCCAACATCCCCTGCGAACAGCGGCGCCCCGGGCGTTGATTGGATTGTGGGGCAGGAAGCGGAAGTACCGTCTTCTGGTTGCCGGGAGACCAGGGAGAAGCTTCCGTGTGTTGGCGGCTGGCAGAGAGGGATGAGAGCGGAGCGTAGAGGATGAAGAGCCGGGGGGAGAAGAGCCGGAGGAAGAGAGGTACACCTGAGGGGGAAACGTCCTTCCATCTTAATTCACATAAATGCTCGTCCCCTGGCTGCCAGCTCCGTGTTCTGGCTTCAGCGATGTCAGGAATGCTGACTTCACTGGCTGCATGCTTGCTCCCGCTCAATCATTCAGTATCATAGATTGTTAGACCCCCTTCCACCGACTTGCTCCTTTAGAGACCTCATGTGATACCCGGTGCTTCCGGGTATGGAGGAGCATGTGACCTCCTCAGGCCGGAGTGGCCAATCATCTGAGACAAACACGGTCACATGATGAAGAGGTCATCCCTGTGTAAGCTCGGACATGAAGTCTACACATGGTGGCTCTGATGTAGATGGGGAAGGCGAGTATCAGCGGTATAATGCTGTCTGAGGGCCCCTAAGCATGCACAAAGTCCTTGATGACCATTCTGGCTTTGCAGCATGCCATGGCAATAATGGGGGGAGTAGTTAAGCACTCAGAGGATGGGGGTATACCTATGACAGGGTGTTATTTGCGTATAGGCAGTGTTCTGTAAGAGGAGATTCACTCCAGGGGAATGTAAACACTTGCATATTGTCACTGAAAGTTGTACAATGTTATATTTCAATTGGTCTTGTCTCCGCCCTCTCCTGTAATAAAGACCGGTCACTGCTGCTCTGTCTTCTTGCACAGGGCGACTGGTCTTGTCTCTGCCCCCTCCTGTAATAAAGACCAGTCATTGCTGGGTCCCTCCCTCAGTTCTGCTCTCTGTACAGCACATTGATGATATCAATACTTTTCCAAGGTCCTATCTGGGTTTGCAATGGTGTTTATTGCACACAAAGTGGATTTATATTCCTTGTGGCTATCAAGGAATATATTTATTTATTCTTACTGGAGTTCAGCTTAAATATGGAATTCCGGAGCCATACTGTCCAGTCCACGAGCCAGCAGGATTTTTTTTAGGAGGCAGCCAATAGGGAAAGCCTCAAAAGTTAGGAGCCAGCATTGGCTACCTTGGATTAGTTAAGCCCTGGCTTAAATGGCAGGAAGTCTTGGGTTGAGCACATCAATCTCACCATGGGAGTCCGTAGGACAATGGTTCTCAACCTTTCTAGGGCCGGGACCCCTTGGTAACATTTGCCAAGTTGTGGTGACCCCCAACCGTACAATTTAGGGAATCACCAATACTAGTATCTGTGTGGGCTAACAGGCTATGCGGGCTCTCAGGTGGCTAGTGGGACTCTCTGGTGGCATCCAGTGCGGCCCCTGTGGTGCCCAGTGTGGGCTCTGTGGTGATCAAGCACTCACCTCCCCTCTCTCCTGCCTGCTCCCCTCTCTCTGATCCTCTCCGGCCGGTGCTGCTGCAGCGCTATCTAGGAGAGCTGACACTGCTGCGCTAGGAGGAGGCTGAGGAGCCTCTTACCTAGAGCAGCACAAGGCATGTAGGGACCCACTTTTGGGTCACGACCCACAGGTGGAGAACCACTGCCCTAGGAGAAGAATAGGGAGTATCAGTACATTCCTGGCTCAGGGGGGAGCTGTAGTCTGGAATGGGGTGTATTGTGGGGCACACAGAGTACTTGAGTCTTGGGATCTGTCGGCTTCTTATTAGCACATGTCTGTAATTGTGTTTTTTCTTTTCTGCAGGAACAACAGATGTTTCCCCATCCACCAGCCTCCCTCCTCTGGTAGAGGGCCAGCTCCGCTGCTTTCTTCGGGTGACTGTTGGGAAGATCCTTTGGACTGTGCCGAGACCTCCGCCCTTTGTCCTGGTGAGGCTCCGGTGGTGGGGAGAGACTTCTGAAGGAACCATCTTCCACCCCAGGGACACCTCACAGACTGAGCAGAAGACGGTGAAGACCACGACTCGCTATGCTGTCCGCTGTGGCCCCAAACAATTCACGTCATATCTCACAGGTAATTACTGCAGACTGTGTGTTTTGTGTTTTTTAAGAATCTGCCATTAGCACAGCTGAAAGGGTATCACTTGAACTCCAAACATTTGGCACAACTTAAATAAAAGCCTAAAGTTCAATATGAAGCTACTATTTTTCTTTTTTTTTTTAAGAGCATTGTATATGAATTTCCTTTTATATATGGAATGTGTGTCATTAATTTGATGGGAAGTCATTGATACCTAGATGCCCAGGCAAGCAGCATCAGCGTCTATTACTAATTTGCATATCTAAATAATAATAAGGACATATGTGGCTTTCATTTGGTACATTGCACATCTAGTTTTCTTTATTGTAGGCTAACAAATACCCCAAATTGTAAAAAAGTTTTTAATGTAATTTTATTTGGCAGCTACAGTATTAAACAGTGTGATGAAGTGATCAAATTAATCAGGAACCACATTTACTGATTCCCAAGGAAGGGAAGTGGGGCAGGGGAGGAAGGCGCAGGCAAGAGGGCCAGGGGCCAAGTCCATACTAGATTTGGCTAGATCACTAAAGTAAGGGGGAGGGGTCAGCAGGGTTCATGCAGTTCGATTCTTTTCTGTGGAGCAAATGAGAGGAAACGGCGTGACAGTTTGAAAATGTTATCCATACATACTATTCAGACACAAACGCCTCTCTCGGATCATTATCATCAGCAGGTAGCTCTTCCATTCTCATGATATTGTTCATTGTGTCCACCCACAGCGTTAAAGGTGGGTTAGTACTGGTTGACTGGTACTGGTTTCATACATGGCAACCCACCTTGTATGAAAATAGATGCCCCGGTTTTCTCCGCATTTCCAGCTGGTGTCCTCATCACTGCATCAGGTAAAATTTGACCCAATAAAAATGGATCTTTATACCAACAAGTCACGATTTTGCGGCACTTTTCTTGGTAGTAACTTAAAACTGAGGCTTCATGTGTGAAGATAAAAGATTTACGGGAGGATGTTCATTAACATATCTCATGGCCGTATTAATATCAACCTTTGGAACTTGGCAGTGTTCTTCATTTTCCAGCAGTGTGTGAAATACATCATTCACAGCAGTTTAATCTCCTAATATGTTTGTCCATCCTACAGATATGGGGGCGCTTGTCTTAGAGGTGATGACTAAACTGGACCACCTCCCACTCAGTCGCGCCCAGATCAACGGGATATCACGGCTCAGCCCAACGCATCCAATCAGTGGCTTCTTCACTCTCGTCTCCCCGGCATCTGAGAAACTGGGAGAGCTCCAGGTGAGAAGGGGAGGAAGGGGTGATCTCAGCAGGGGGTCCAAATCCTGCCCACTGTGGTTGTGTCTAGACACACTCTTTAGAGTAGAACTATAGGCTACAATGTTATGTAACAATTAAAGTTAATGCCTTGAACTGTCTTTGCTCAGATAACATTTACTATAGAGTGGCAAATTCTACTTTAAAAAATTCCATCTGCAGCCTATTTCTTCACCTTCCTTTAGTGTGGTAATGACACTTCCACATCCTCCCTGAATACCCTGTTGTCACTGTTTTCCTTCCACTGAGCTAGCTGAGACTACATAGTGATGTGGTGGCCTAATGTAGTCTTCTTCTGCAGAGCCACAGATCCTCCCCCTATTCCTTACAACATGCCAAACCTCGCTTTATCTTGCCCTGCACATTATTAGCTGCCCAGCACATGCAGATCACTCCAGGCAGACCATGGCCACTGTTACTTTTCTTTTTTATAATCTCCACTTACCTTGTTCACTGCGTCCAGTGGATCTAGTGTTGTCCTGCTGGAATCTGGTGGGTTCGGGTCCAATGCCATCATCAGGGGGCTGGCTGTCTCTTCCAGGTTCTTGCACTTTCCCCCTGATGATGCGCATGCACAATGGCAAGTCATCAGAAGGCCAACTGAAAGAACCATGAATAGACAACGGGCCCCTAGATTATGCGTAGCGGCACATGCATTGTAGAGTACCCCGAGTTCTCCTGTGATGCATGACCTCAGTATCCAAGTAGGCTGCAGGTGAATAGGGTGTAATTTTCTCCTAGGAAGTGCTGGAAGGGGGTCCAGTTAGAAGAGGTAGGAGGGCAATGAGGTAACGTGGGTGGATAGGTCTGCTTTAAGGTTTAAAAACCATTGCAGCAAGTAATAAGATTTACACTTCTGGATTACAAATTATTTACAGCTTAAAACATTATCCTTTCCCTGTAATAGAAGAATGTGCTTTGGTTTCTGTTTATCAGGTGTCTGTGGCTCTGGAGCCCCTGTGTGAAACATACGACAGCAACAGTTCCGTCCCTAATACAGATGTCAGCCAGGACGCTGGACTCTCCGGATGTCAGTCTAAGCCACACAGTAAATTAAGTGTGAACCCCAGAGGCCGGCGGGACTCTGAAACCAGCAGAGCTTCCACTCCCAGGTAATCGGGATACTTTACAGCATTGCTGGACAGTGTTATCCATTTGTAGAATTGGGAAAGCATAAGAGAGAAGTGAAGTCAGCACTGAATTTAAAAGGTCCCAAGACAGCCTGGGCCTCTTCCTTGGTTCTTTGGAAAACTTTCAGTGCTATTGGAATGTGCAACTGAGCATGCTCCCAGCACAAGACAGCAGCACATGCCAAATGTATAAGTGTGGCAGCACAGCGTAAGGTCCATGTGGCCCCATAGGGCACCACCATACTACCACATATATGCGTATGGCTGGGGTTAAAGGGTCAAGGGGTTAAAGCAGCCATTTGAGGCCCCTGTTCATGGTCTCCTTTTTTATTTTCTCTAATTTGCAATGCTTTTTAATAAAAGGTGTACAACTTCATCTTTATACAGTAGTGAATCTGACATTCAACAAACATTCACTGCAGTTGGATCTTCCTGGTGCATGTGTTTTTAACCCTTTTTTAACCCTAGATGTAAGTACTATGTCAGTGGCATTGTCGCCCCTGTAAACGGACTGCAGGCTGCTGCTACTTTGTTGGTTTACTCTCATTGAGCTGACTCCCAGCTTCATTCTGGAAGCGATCACTTTCAGCAACCCTGCAGCACCACCTGTGAATGTTTGGTGAATATCAAAAACAGCAAAAAGTTTCCAGGCACACTCACCAGCCAGCATGCAAAAAAAACTTTGGTTTACCGCTAAGGTTAAAATCCAGAGGTTTAGATACACGTCTTCTGCAGAAAATGTGAAAGCCGCACAGCCACGTCAAAGCACCTCCATATAGTGCGGTCCTAACTCTAAACTATGAGAGTCTCCATCTTGGAGCACATGGGGCAAAAGATGAAATTGGGTGCAGGTTTGTCAGGAGGAAGTCCAACCTCCCTTAAAGGCACAGGTACGCACAAGGGACCCCGCACATCTCAACAGCAGCTGAGACCACCCATGCGTCACTGCACCGAATCAGTCAAGCAAAACAAATGGCAAACGCACTCATCAATTCTCAGCTGCCGTTGTGATGTGCGGGGTCCCTTGTGCGTACCTGTGCTTTAAGGAAGGTTGGGCTTCCTCCTGATAAACCTGCACCCAATTTAATATTTTGCCCAATGTGCTCCAAGATGGAGATTCTCATAGTTTTTAGAGTTAGGACCGCACTATATGCAGGTGCCTTGACGCGGCTGTGCGGCTTTCACATTCTCTGCAGAAGACGTGTAACTAAACCTTTGTTTTTAACCTTAGCGGTTAGACAAGTTTTTTTTTTTTGCATGCTGGCTGGTGAGTGTGCTGGGAAACTTTTTGCTGTTTTACTGTTTGAAGCCCTTCCGTGTGCACCTTGCTGTAAAGCTGGTAACGAATTGATGAGTGCGTTTGCCATTTGTTTTGCTTGTTTGGTGAATATGACATTATTTATGAGTACACAATGGGCCTTTAAAGTATCTTTAATCCACAACACTAAAATATATTCTTATCTTATGTTGTAGAGGCCGAGATCACTTGTATTTTAAGGAAAATGCAGAACCCCACCTTGACCCTCTGAAAGAACCACAAGATCATTCAAACCAAAAAGATGTTTATGTTTCTGACATCCACACATACAAGGAGAACATGACTTCAGCGCACATTGCTCAGGAGAGATTCACTGCTGATCGGCCCAAAGAGGTGTCCGGAGTCCCCTCTACACCAGCTGCTAAGGACCTGCTGGCAGGTGAGGACTGCTGCTGTTAAGGGCTGATACCAGCACAGCAACCTACCAAATTATTCCTTCTTTCACAAAGATTTAATTCAAGTTTGCACTGATCACATTTTGAAATGATTAGCTGGGTTTTCCTTTCCATAAAACATGTTTCATTCTATAGCAATGTGCCTTTGAATTTGGTAGAGAATTGACTACTCCAGGAGAAGTCTGTTCTCTAGCACAGTCCTCTCCCTCCTTGCACATCATAGCCCTCTCCTCTTTTGGGAGTGTCTGATTACTGTCTGTTCTGGCCCAGCTCCTCTGCTGCTCCCCTCACTTACCTACATACATTTTGATGTCGTTGCTGGGGAAGAAGAAAAGGAGAATACTATAGAGAATCAGTTCAGTGACAGCTCTGGGGCTGCTGACATCACATCTAAGATGGAGGCACCCTGCAGCAGTCTTAGGGTTTTTAAATGTCTGCACAAGGTAAGCTTTTACAGGTACATATCATACCTAAGGTAGGTTACATTTGCATTGAATCGTATGGAAAGATTTCAGTTGAAATGAATGGACTGGTCGCTGGGTCTCTTTATGACGCATTCATTTTTTTGTTGATCCACCTCCAAATCTCTGAGCAATAGGTCCCACCCATTATAGGTGATTGTAGACTTTGGGCAAAGTCTGTAGTCACAAATTCCCATACTCTTGCTGTTGTTTACATTGAGATATAAGCTTTTTTACTCCCCTCCCCAACAAGTCACCTCTCCTACTTCTTCTGTTCAATTCCTCTACTATTGGCTGCAGTAACACTAGCACAGTGTGTGCCCGATGACTGGCTGCACCAACCGTGAAGGAGAGATGGTGTTGTCTATCAGAAACTTGAGATCGAGTACATACTAGGAAAACAGTACTTGAACAATTCCAGTAATAGGGGAGCTCAGTAGCCTTTTCTGGTATTCGACACGAGGGGACTGACAAAGTACAGGTTCTTGCAGTATGAGGGATTTCCACCATCCCTGCTTGATTCTTTATTCTATATCAGTCTTTCTCAGCCAGAGTTCTGTGGAACCCTAGGGTTCCTTCAGAGGTTCCTTGACTAACCTCTAATGCAGCCTTTCTCAACCAGGGTGCCTTCTGGCTTCTTTAGGGGTGCCTCGAAATGTTCGCCAGCACATTGGAAAAGAATAACTCTAATCCAGAATGGTGGGATCCATTCAAAAAAAGTTCTCCTCTGTCCAGGCCTGCTTCGCCTCCCGCCGTCTGCCATGATGCCACAGCTGTGGCTCCTAATATTAAAGGGGGGGCTCCGATGTGAAAGGGGGGTTTTTGATTTAAAAGGAGGGTGGGCTCTGGTGTGAAGGGAGGGCACCTGATTTTGAAGGGAGGAATTCGATGTTATGGGAGAACCTCATCTTTTTGTGTTTTTGTATGGGGTCTCCCCTAAAAATCCATACCAGACCCCCATCTTGGATAAGGGTTACTCCAGATTTTGGAGGAGCAACACGTTGCTTTTTTTAACATATATTTTCCTTCTCTGCCTACCACCAAGGTAAGGGGGTTTGTCTCCACTGTCCATCAATATAGGGGGCATTTCTTGACCCCATCACCAATGTAAGGGGGCCCTTCTCCACTGACCATTATTGTAGTAGCGATTTCTCCACCCACCACCAATGTAGGGGACCCTTCTCCACTGACCATCAATGTAGGAGGCATTTCTCCACCCACCAACAATGTACCGAGCCCCTTCTCCACTAACCATAAATATAGGGGGCATTTCTCCACCCACCAACAGTGTACCGGGCCCCTTCTCCACTCACCATCAATATAGGAGGCATTTCTCTACTCACCATCAATGTAGGAGGCATTTCTCCATTGGCCACCAATGAAAGGTGACATTACTGTTTTCACTGTCTGCTTTGGGTCATTCTTTTTCACGGTTATATAAAGCATGGTGTCATGATTATATCTATAACCTAATGCTCACGCTCCTGTACTGCAGATATAAGGTCTTATCCATACAAGACCTTAAGGTCCGGCTGCAAATTCCTGCAGCAAGAATCTGTGAATACTTGCTGCTGGGATCACATGTGGCTCCTGACAGCTGTGGCCGCACAGCCTGTACAAGGCAATGACGGACCCATAAGTGCTGCAGCTAGCTGTCCATGTTCAGATGTAATCACACCTAGAGAAATTACCTGCAGTTAGTTGATGACCCCTCGACACAAGCTGAGTGGCCACATCTGTCCAGAGCCACCCAGGACTCTGCGGGCTGGCCACGCCTCGGCACTCTGCGGGCTGGCCCCCGACTCGGCACTCTGTGGGCTGGACCCGCCTCTTGGGAGGAGGTATGCAAATATCTCAGTGCCTTGATGGATGGGTGTCAGTCTGGAAAAGTGGGCATTGCTAGACAGGCTGCATTAGCATGCAGACCACCTATTTAACGCCCATATGTGATGCTGAGACTCCATGATTGAAAGAACTGAAATCCATTGAATGAAAGGGGAGGACCAGGGACAGTCAGGCTGTGGAGGAAAGGGCTAGAGGATGCTGTATGTCTTCGAGCCAGGAAGTGAGGCGGGCTCTATCTGACTTGCTGCAGTTTCTAATGCACATTGTGAGAAGCTCCCAGAGTGCAGTGAAATCAGAGTAAGCAATTTCAGTCCAGCAGAGGAGCCGGTACCATTGTGCAAGACTGAAGGGAAGGCCGGAGTTCAGCTTTAGATAGAGAAATGCACATCAGTAACAAGGCTGGATGAAAGTTAGTCTAACCGTCTATCCCTTTTAGCTACTCCTTTATTCTCTGTGTACTATTCATAATTGTGTTCCTTTTCTTTATCAGTTCTCTTACAGCAAGGAAGCAAACTGAGAGACGCCATGGCTGAATCTGCTATGAGACTGGATCCTAGCATGGACATGGAGCCATTAGATAAAGAGAATTACACTTCACAGGCTGTAAGGTGAGTACAATGCGGCTCACTCCTTCCAATGTTTATGATGTTTGATGATCATGTGACTACAAATATCTTGTGTGCTTTGTGCATTCGTTTGCAGGGCTGCCCTGGATTTCCCTCCACCTCATATTCACCAAAACCTCCGAAATTTACCTAAGCCTTCTGCACCGAAAGATATAATCCTGCACCCGACAGACCAGACTTTCTCTGAATTAGATGTTCCTAATGATACCAGAGCCATAGAGCTATTGCTGGGCAGGTAGGTGTACCTACAATACCATGCTAACATTCAAATATAGGGCTTTCCTACAAAGCAATGGGTTAATACTGATCCCTTTGCTGCCGATCTCCGCTGTGTTCATGCACAACCCTGGCTGAAACATCTTCATAATATGGGGTCAGATACCTGGTTCCACCCCCATGCTCTGTGAATCCTTCTGCCGGCACCTATGTCAATGTTTTGTCTTATAATGATGTAGGGGCCATTAGTAGGAATCGCACGGGAAACAAGAAATCTCGCACTACTGGAAGGGTGCCCGATGCTTAAGATGTTTTAGCGGCATGAAAGATCAGCTGCAAGGAGACCACAGGCAACAGTACTGGTTATAATAAGGATTTAATTGACATAATGCACAGTGCAGCAGTAAAGGAAGATGGTACGGATATATACTGTAAAAGGAGTTTAAAGCCCAACTGCAGCCAGAACTTTTTTTGGGGTTGAAAAGGGTGATAACTAGGGATGCACCCATACCGAGTAATGCTCCGATACTTTCCCCGATACCTGAACTTCCGGTCAGCGGAAAAGTTCCTCTGACCGGCAGTGCCGTAGGGAAACATGGAGCCAGCTTACATCTGATCAGGAAGCTGAGCGGCGAGTGATGACCCGACCCCCGGCTTCCTGTTTGGATGGACAGCCGTTTTCCCCGCCAATCAGCATGGAGTCGGCTTCCTGGCCAAGCTGGGAGGCGGGTCATTACTTGCCGCCCGTTTTCCTGATTTGCCGGGTAGCCAGCTCCATGCTGATTGGCTGGGAAGCTGGTTTCCCGGCTAATCACAATGAAGCCAGCCAAGCAACATGGAGCCAGCTTCCTGGGCAATCAGGAAGCCGGGCAGTATGTCATTGCTCACCGCCCGGCTTCCTGATTGCCCGGGAAGCCGGCTCAATGTCAGCGGAAGCACCGCTATCGGCGAGTACCGAAAGCAAAGCAGCGGTACTCGATACCGAAACAAACAGTATCGGCGCATCCCTGACCTTTGCCCAGTTTTTGTATGGAGACTTTCCCTCACTTCCTGTGTTATGTCCGGCACAGGAAGCAAAGAGATATCTCCTTACTATGAGCACAGACAATAATATGAATCCAAGAGAGGTTCTAACCCATTCACACTCGGCCCTACCTTAATGTTGTTTGCCTTTACAAAGGGCCATGTGATAGAATTTGCCGTATCCCCACTGATTGGTTTGTCTCACAATCTCAGCACCCCGATATCCCTGGGCCAGTACTGGGATGGGACAGGATCGCCCCCAGAATCCATTGCAGGAAGTGAATTCTACGAGAGTGAACTGAATGATCCTCAGTACGACCAGAGTCTGTTGGAGAACCTATTTTATTCGGTTCCGGTAAGCACTATGAAGATGATTTTCCATATTCCTCGGGGTTGGCGATTGCTTGGTATGTTTTCTCTATGTCCAGTTATGATGAGTCTGATTGGACCCGGAAGGTCACATGTGTAAGTCGTAGGCTGGACACGGTTGTTACTGCACTTGAAGCTGAACTCCAGGAAAACGGCTAAATACGTATATAGTAACTTAGTTCCTGGAGCACGCTGTATATAGGAGCATCCAGTCCTAAAAGCCACTTAACTCTGGCACCCACCACAGCCCTGCTGGCAGGACAGGAGACCTGATTTTATTCTCTGCTACATTTAAGAATCAATTACATGTCGTCATCCCCCAGCCTGTGACTGGACAGTAAAGTAGAAGCAGCAGACTGATGAGCTTATCTTTCTATCACTCTGCTCTTTCCTCCTATCAGCAAGAAGCACAGCTGACTGACCTCTTGTGTTGCTTCTCTGTCTGAGCTCAACTGTACAGGGGATGGGAAAAGCTGATATTCAGAGGCACGAGGGACCTTGCCTGTCGGGTTGCTTTCGTTGCTAAAACCGTGCCAGATCTCATACAGCATGCAAAAGATCTGCTGTTGGCATCATTGGTGGGCTGGCGCAGAAGTAGCCAGGCACTGATGACATCTATATTTAACCACCTACCGGTCAGACGGTATCTTCCTTTATGCGGGTGGACGTTTTAAAACTCATTTTAAACAGCTGGCAATGGCTCTTCACATATAAGCGTTCAGGCAGCTGTAGAGCCCCACCAATCGCTTCCAGCATGGCGGCTCTGTTAACAGGGATCAGAGGGAGATCAGCACACAATCTCCCGCTGATCACTTCCCCCTTCAGCTGTCATTTCTCTGGCTTCTGTAGCCGGAGAAAAGCTGGTGAAGCATATCTCTGCTTCATCAGCTTCTTTGGGGGTCCCTAGGTGGCATTAGAGGTCTTAAAGACCCCTGATGTCTCCATAAAGAGGACCTGTAAATGTAAATTTGTTATCACATAGGGGGCTTCTAAGCCCCGTAAACAATAAAGTTAAGTGTACAAAAAAAAAAAAAAGTAAGTTATAATAAAAAAAACACAAACTTTATATTAAACTCCCTTGCCCCCATGTACACACTGAAACATGCGTTTGCTGCGCCTACATGCGAAAGCGATGATTGCGCCCATTATTCCGCACATGTTACGTATCACCGCGAATGTCCGAGGGTGAGCAATAATTTTAGTGCCATCAATCATTGATAACACTAAACTGATGAGCGGTAAAAGCTTTTAAAGCGTCGCCTATGGCTAATTTTGGGTATGGTAGTGTTTTGGTTTTTTTGCGGTTCCGCGGGCACACATTACATAGTTACATAGTATTTGAGGTTGAATAAAGACATAAGTCCATCAAGTCCAACCTATTAGGATCTCATTCTAGGAGTACCTGTACCCCCGTATATTACCTGTACCCCTGTCTATGACGGTCCCTTAAGAAATCGTCCAAACCTTTCTTGAACAATTCCACATTATTTGCTGAAATCACCGCCTGTGGCAGTGAGTTCCAGACCCTAACTGATCTTACTGTGAAGAACCCCCTTCGCCCCTTGTGCTGGAATTTTTCTCCACCAATTTTAGGTGATGGCCTCTAGTTTTTGTAATGGAGTTAATTTTAAACAGTTTATCGCTAATGTTGCTACCACCATTGAACATTTTGTACATGGAAATCATATCCCCCCTTAATCTCCTCACCTCCAATGTGAACATGTTTAAATTTAGTAGCCTCGTCTCGTAGCTCTGGTCCTCCATACCCCTAATTAGTTTGGTTGCCCTCCGCTGGACTTTTTCCAACTCAAGGACATCTTTTCTTAGTACTGGTGACCAGAACTGGACCGCGTACTCCAGATGAGGTCGAACCAATGATCTACATTATTTTACGGGTTGCCATGTTTGGTGTCTATCTACCTGACGTGACCCCGTCTTACATTTTATTAAAAAAATTGGGTAATAGTAATGTTTTTAAGACATAATGTTTTGGTATTTTTTCCAAATTTTTGCTACTTTTTGCTTTTATATAGTAAAAAATAAAAGCCCCCAGTGGTGATTAAATACCACCAAAAGAAAGCTCTATCTGTCCCCAAAAAAATGGTATAAAATTTATTTCACTACAGCGTTGTATAATGGAATAAATGTCAAAGTACCGCAGCGCTGAATACTGAAAAATGGCCGGGACAAGAAGGGGGTTTAACACCCTGGGCTTCAATTGGTTAAATTGGCGGATTTATGGAAGGGGGGGCGGGGGTGAAAAGGTCCTTTTTAGAATATATGAAGAGTGAATAGGAGGAGGCAAGTAATAATAACTTTTTTTTAATTTTACATGTCATTAATGGTGGCAGTTTCATATAATGGTGGGAGGTGGGTGGTCTGCTATGAGTACAGGATTGTAAGCTCCTTGAGGGTAGGGAATGATGTGAATGTGCAACTATGTTAAGTGCTGTGTAAATTGTCGGCACTATATAAATACCTGTAATAAATAAATAAAATTTGTGTATGCATATCTGCCTAGAGTTGAGCTTTTAAGTTACAATATACAATTATAAATGATCTTTTCTAACACTGCTTTTTTTTTTTACCTGGAAGAAAATACTTGATGATTTTAGCAGTGATGAACAGTCCAGATCAGTGACTAAAGGATCCAAAAACCGACCAGTGGAAGATGAAGAGCAAAACCTGAAGCAGTCTAAAGC